CCCCCCCCCCCCCCCACACACACACACACACATCAACCCACCGCATCACATGTGTGCCCGCCTCGGCGACCGAGTGGCCGCGCACAACAGGACGACACACACAGGTCTAAACAGGAAAGGGGCCCACCAGCAGCCTGTCTGTATGTGTCTGTGTGTCTGTGTGATGATGTGCGAGTGGCTGGGCAACGAGTGAAACACACACCGCTATGCTTGTATGTTCGTGTGCATGGAGCAAGCAATGCATTACAGACGGACGGATGAACACACAGATAAGTGGTGTGGTGCATCGGTCGGCATGTGTGTGTGTGAACACATAGATGTGTGTCCGCACAGAGAGAGAGAGAGATGGCAGTCACCAGCCATCACTAGAGAGGGAGGTCTCGTGAGCTGGCCGGGACGTTTGTGTGTGTCTGTGTGTGACGAACTGACTCGAACGTTTGTGTGTGTCTGTGTGTGACGAACTGACTCGATCAAGAATCAAGACAATCGACTGCAGGATGATGCCGACGTGTCCATTTCAAGTTCGTCTGTGCAACCACCCACGCAGAGCCACCCAGCATCCAAAAGCAACCAACCACTCATTCATTCATTCCACCGTGTGCACACATGGCCGTCTGCTCGACTACATGCCGCCCTCATTCTTGGCGGGTGTTTCTTGTTTGGTTTGTGGCCGAGCCCATCTGGTATGCGCTGTGGGCAGCTGTGAGTGCATGCAGGCAGGTGTCTTTGTTTGTCTGTCTGTCTGTCTGTGTATGAGCGCAGGTGTTCTTTCACTGCCTGCCCAAGTGATCGATACCTCTTGGCTGGCCTGACTCAGTGTATCGACACTCATTCGACATTCCCTCTCTGCCAACAATCGATTCACACGCCAGCATCAGGCAGCCCCCGTCCGTCAATTCTGTACACTACCCAGTCAGTCACACACACACACACACGCACGACATGTAGCTATGCCATGCAGCACATAGGTGTCGTCAGCTGAGAATGGCCCCACTGCCCCTCTGCTCTGAGTGATCCACCACACACAATGGCCGGCCTGACAGATACCGCCAACACGCACACACACACAGAGAGAGAGAGCATACAGCAGATGCGAAAATGGTCACACAATCAGCCCCTCTTATCAATGAGTGCCATTCCCTCACCTCAGGCATTGAGAACTGCAGTCATTGTCACCCACGTGCCTCCATACCCATCATGTCTGATGCTTCTGATGGTGAAGGCACCGATGTTGGTGCCGACAGCGACGGAGGCCTCGATGGAATCGCGTTGCTCAGCTGTCGTCGTGTCGCGGACAATCATCTCCACACACTGCAGGCCGCTGATGTGCGAGATCACCGACGAGAGGCTGGTGCGGACGAAGCTGCCCGCGTCCTCCACATCATCGGGAACTGAAGGCGAACACACACAAGGCAGCAATGAGGACAAAACGACAGAAATGCCCCATCTCCCTTTCGGCGTACGTGTCATGGTGAAACGAAGTTCCCTGATCGTCGGCAGCCCGTCGGCCGCCCCCACCAGCAGTTGCTCTAGTCGATTGATAGCGATGTCCCCCATCTCCACCGTACCCACCTCCCTCTCCCTCCCCAGCGACGCCAAGACGCCCACCTTCTCCTCCTCACCCGACATCTCGCCGATGTCCACGCACTCCACCTTCTTTGGCATCTTGGCGGCCAGCAGCCGGCCAGCTGCACCACCCAGGTGGTTGCGGACAGACAGCCCTGAGGCCTTGGGGAACGGCTGCAGGTGGCTGATGATGGTGGGGTGGGGCGGTGGGGTGTAGGCCAAGGGGTGGAAGCCAGGGGCATTCTCGACCTCCACCACGTCGGCCTTGTCGAATGAGAGTGTCTTGGCCATGTCGATGGCCGCTGGGCTGGGGTCGGTGTGCGGGTCGGTCAGGCCGTCCTGAGTGAAGATGTACTTCACCGATGTGGCCTTCTGTGCCAGCTGCTTCATCATGGTCTGGAGTGAGGGTGAGGGGCGGTCGGGAAAGTTGGGGTGGTAGAAGATGGAGAGGTCGAGGTCGAAGCCGAAAAGGCCGCGGGTGGGTGAGTGTCAATGGGGCGTCTGGCAGGTAGCACGCGTCGACCAGTCGGCGCAGGGCCAGCAGTATGGGCGTGGTGAGGCGGTTGATGCAGAACCCGGCATAAAACTCCACGTTCAGCTGCTTGAGCGATTCTCGGCAGCCGCGGGCCATGAGCACTTCCTGAAGGCGACAACACACAAAAACGGGACATCATGAGCCACCCACACTGTGCATGTGTGTGCGTTGTGGTCACCTGAAGCCTGTCGATGCCCGCCGGATCGCTACCTTCGACCAGGATGGTGCCGATGCCCTCCAGCTGGGCGAGTGGCCCTCCCTGCCGCCCAACAGGTGCCGCAGGGATGCGCTCGAACACACTCGACCACTCGTCACCGTCAAACATCCCGTCGACCTGCCGCAACGAGCGGGACGAGCCGATGAGCTTGCCCAGGCTGCCAGGGCGCCACCACCCCTGCCGCACGACGGTGGCGAGCGAGGGCATCAGCCAGCCCCGGTCGGCCAACTGCCGATGGTCGCCTCGCAGGTCGGCGATGGTCTTGAGTGCGTCGAGGGTCGGGGGCGGGTCGAGAGGGAGTGGGAGGAGCGGATGAGTCCTGAAGATGGTCTGCCTCGCCGTGCCGGTCAGCCGAACCCCTTCTTCGATGGCGATGGTCTGCAGGGTCCCGCCATGGACGTTGGCTGCCCGTCGGCTGACAATGTGGCCCTCGATGATGGCCACAAACACGTCCAAAGACCAGCGGGGGAAGCCGAGTGGGTAGTGGAGGGCGATGGACGTGAGCTGTCTGAGGTATGTGGCCCATTCCCTGACGAGAGCGATGGTGGTCCTCTGCCAAAACGACCGCTGGTCTTCGTCGGCCGCGCTGATGGTGAGGTGGTGCTGCTTGCGGGCGGCGTGTTGCCATGTGAGGGGCGGCAGCTGCAGCTGGATGAGCAGATGAACGGGGAGGAAGGCCATGACGATGCTAAGGATACCGGGCTGCACACAACCACACAGCACACGGGACGGCAAGGGATGTGGGTGTCCATCAGAGTGTGGATGCCCTTGTGCGTGTGGTTGGCTCACCGGTGCATTCCCCCAGAAGCGTCTTTCCCTCTCAGCCCGACGCGGCCGCTCCTCATCGCTCTCACTCGCACCACCACCACCAGGCTGAGCATCAGAGGAAGAGGCCGCCATTGTGGTGGGTGAACCAACCTGCTACCAACAGCACATACAGACATTCAAAGGAGGTTGCCTTGCCTTAAGAAATCCATCAGTCAGCACATTGGCACACCCACCGGCAACTGATGCGCCCTCTGTGTCTTCTGGTCGGCCTCGGTTAGCTACGCTCTCCGCCAGTGCACCTCGTGTGGTCGGGCGTGTCTATTGGCCTTCCTGCATCCCTCACATGGCCTCGTTCGCACGCTGAGCCCTCGCACCTTTGCCGAGCCCTCTAGGATGGAAGTGCCCCTCAGTCAGGAAAGATGCACCAGCTCTGCGTACCTAGACGATGTCAGCGATGGCCGGCCCTCCTTCACAGAAAATTGCGAGCTCAAATTCGGAGTCCGTTCGCCCCTTTTTTTCTTTCTTTTGTCGGCCTGTTTCACTGAAGGTGTGTGTAGTCTCACTGAGGAGGCATTTATGGGATAAAATCGCAAAACGAATTTGACAAAGCCGAGAAAAGTGGCAATTCGATCCTCACTCGATCCCGAGAAAGACCAAATGTTCGGCGGCCCCGAGGGCTTCAGAGGCCTCAGCGAAGAATATGGGTACGTCCACGCTGCCCCAAATCGCCGGGGATCTCTTCTTCTTTTGCGAGCTTGACGGCATCGCGCCAAAATTTGTCGAACAGAGTTTTGGTCCGATGACAGGACTGTCTGATGCCTCCACACTTCCTCTCGTCACCATCGGTGAGACCAAGAGACCTCTCGGCCCATTCATTCACTCAGTGAGCCGGTGCGCTTCGCCTTCCCATCAGCGAGGCCAACTGAGGGAGGGAGGCAGACAGACAGGCAGATGATGCATGACAGATAGAAGCGACAGGCAACACATTCCCTTCCCTCCCTGCGTGGCTGTGCGGTCTGTGGGCTGTCAGATCTGACGGTGACGGGCTGACTTAGAGGTTCTGGACGGCTAGGGCGGGCAGCACTGAGTCGGGCTGCTTCTTGATGGCTGGCGGCAGTGTCGTTTTGATGGCTGACGCCAAAGCTCACACACTGAGCAGTGAGTCGGCAGACTCAGAGCACAGGCACACCGATGACTGCATCCCATCTCGCTGTGTAGCTGGGCTGCTTCCATGGTGCAGGTGGTTGACCGTGTTGTTCAGATGGACAGTAGCCACGACGCCCCGACTCCCTCCAGAGGTGGGCGATGGCGCACACAATGGACACACACAGCCGTCATGTGTGTGTGTGGTGATGGGGTGTGTGGTGCAGGTGGGCGGGGCGACCTGTCAGACGATAGCTTGCGAGATGTCATAGATCAGATCCAATCGGTGAGGGAGGGAGGGAGGGAGGGAGGGAGGGAGGCGCCACACCGACCATTCATTCACTGTGCTGTCTGCCTGTCTGTTTGGTTGCCTTCAGATCGCAAGTGAGATGGCCGCGCCGGCTCGGCGGGCGAGGGAGCTGATCCAACGCAACCAACACAACGACACACAGGTCCGTCTGCACGAGTGCCGCATCCCTCTCTCTCTCTCTCTCTCTGTCGTGTGTGTTGCCGTCGACAGGTTTGTGCGTCGGCGGCTGGCCGTCGGCTGTTGGGTTTTCTGACGAACCTCACCGACACCCACTCGGCCCTCAGCAATGAGCTGACACAGACGCCCACTAACCACAACAAACACAAACGCGTAAGGCTCCACTGACCACTGGATGGCACACACAAGCCGGCCACTCCTCTGTGTGTCTGTCTAGGTGTTTGTTTATGTCAGCGAATGGATGTCGACGGCGGGGCGTCTCAGTGGGGGGCGGGCGGTGCTGTGGGACCGAAGGAGACCGACAGCAACAAACAGCATAGCAACGAGGTGCGCACAAGTCCACACCCACAAACAGACAGACAGAGAGACAAAGGAGCTCATTGGTGTGTGTCGCTGGTCAGGTGCCTGCTGATGACGGCGGCGCCAAGAAGCGTGGACGCATAGACATCAGCCATACTGCTGCTGCTGCTGCTGATGGTGGTGGTGATCGTGATGGACACAGTGGAGGTACGCAAAGCATCGGCTGCTGTTGGTGGACTGCATATCATCATGACCCTCCTGTGATGTTGGTGCCTTAAGGTGGCTCGGTTGGTCCGGGTGGTGCTGCGGCAGCGACACAGCAGCAACAGGGAGGTGCCACCTCACTGCCGGCAGATCTGACGGGCCCCACCCAGTAGCAGCACCCCGTGTGGTACGTCTGCGCCCACCGCGGCAGCGATTTTCTGCTGCGGGATGTGCTGCGTCTGAGGAAGACCTGCATATAGGCGAAAGGCCTCTTCGGAGCGCCTCAGCTGTGGCAGCGGCTCAGCCATTCGCTCGGCACACAGGCGGGGCTGCGGCGGACGGCCAACGGACAGCAGCTGCTGACATTCGCCGACCAGCAGCAGATGGGTGTGGCTGACCTGCTGGCGGCGCTGTGCGTGATGGAGGCGGGCGGCTGGAGTGAGATGAGCGAGGCGATTGAGCTGGCGGGGCAGTGCGGCAATTGCCAGCTGCCTGTGAGGCTCACTGCCGCTGATCTGCACCAATACCCAAACAAGGCGGTAAGCCAACCGAGGGAGGGAGGGAGAAAAGGATGGCTTTCATTCGGTGTGTTGTGTGTGCAGGCGTATTCGGCCGCTCCCCGTGTCTTGGCTCAGCTCAAGATGGTCGGCCCCCACATCCACTTCGGCGACGGCGTGACCTTCCAGCTGTTCCAGCACGGCAACAGACTGAGGGCCATCAAGGACCAGATCGGCCTCGAGATCGACATCAATCCGCCTCTCCCTGCCAACCACCCCATCCAACAGCACAGACAGCTGCATGACCCGCCCGTCCACAGCAACATGACATACGTCCCGCCACTGGGCTGGATGTCGCTGGCTGCTTCTCGGGTCTACTCATCTGTGTCGTCGTTTGTCAAGAGAATCGCCATCAACCACTTCGCGGCCACTCATCAGTACAACAAGACTAGCGGTCGCATCGACAGGTCAGGGCGGGGCATCACTTTGCGTGTGCACTGTCACGACACACACGAGTGTATGTTATGTGTGTGTGTATGTGTGTGTGTGTCAGGGATGTCGACAACAGCCGGCTAATCACCTTCGTGACACAGTCCTCGCACACACCAGTGGAGGGATGCACCACCACCTCCACATCGTACCGCTCCACTGACGGATTCACTTACCGCCGTCTCGTGCTGACCGACGCCAGCCACTCGTTCGTCGCATGAATCGCCGTCACAGAGAGCATTTACAACTCCGGTCAGCCAAGCCTAGCACGGCACAGCAAGGGGGAGGAAATGTGCTCCCTGTCCTTCGTTTGCAGTGAGTGTTGAGGTCTTCACCACCGAGCCGGCTGTGTCTGATGTCGTTGGTGCCTTCAAGGACCGCTTCCCTCAGACCACTCGGCTGGCGCGTGCGGTGCTGGGGGCCGAAATCTCAGCAATGGTATTCGACCGATAGACAGCTTAGGTATGTCTGCATCAAACACGACTGAGACGAGGACAAGATGAGCACACGACGACTTCCACAATGGTGTGCTTTCTATCATTCGGTGTGTCTCAGGCCGGGCGGTGGTGCGGTGCTGACATTGGAGCGATCTGGCCGACATATTCTCTCTGGACGGATGTGTGGGCGATAGATCGGGGGGGCGGGTGGGGACTTCCTCTCGAGAGGTGTGGTGGTGTGGTGCTGGTGCTATGGTGTTGGCTCATGGATAGATGGATGGCTTGGTGGAATGCCTCTCCCTCTCCTCATGACACGTGAAGCTGTCAATCGTTTCCTTACACCTCTCTTCCCGTCTGTCTGTCTGTCTGTCTATCGTGCTGCTGTCCCCTCCCCTCCCCTCGGCTCCCCTCTCCCATTGCCCCCCTCATGTGCATTGGCCGACCAGACCGGTGAGGTGTGTGTGGGTCGGAGAGAGAGGACAGACAGAACCAGATGGGGGGGAGATGGGCGGACAGAAGGCTAGGCACACACACGGTGGGCGAACTGAAGTAGCCCCTCGGCAAGCCCAAACACACAAGAGTGACAGACAGACAGACAGACAGACAGACCGACAGACAGACAGGGTGGACGTCTTTGCTCGCTGGGCGTGTTGCATTTTGTGTGCGTTTGATGGACGGCTGTGTGGGATGTGTGTGTTCGTATTGCTGACTGAATGCCTTGCTGTTGATTGCAATGAGTGAACACCCAAAGAAAGGAGCCACAATTGGGAGAGAGACACCCACAGAGATACCGATTGATAGCACAGCTCATTCGCTGCGGTCCATACACAACACACACTCACACACACAGATTCATCCATCCATCCATCTACACGCTGCCACGACGTCATTAAGGGCACCTGCGTCTGTGTTTGTGTGTGCGTGTGGGTCCGCCGTGGAGCCGACGCTACGCACAGCACAGCACAGATTCAACAACAATCGATCAGCCGAATGGAAGGACGGTGTGTGTCTGTGAGTGTAAAGGCATGAAAGACGCAGCCAGACACTCACTGTATATAAACGCACACCACATTCAGCTGTATGTGTATCGGTCTGTGCGGTGTGTGCCCGCCGCCATAGCACCCGCCCGCCACTCAGCCACCCGGCCAACCAATAATTGTGTCCTGCATGGCTGTCTATTGGGCATGACACTACTGCCCAGCCTGACACACACGTGGAAAGACAGACACCATTGTGTATGTCGTGAGCGCATTTGCTGCCCGTGTCAGTCGTGTTTGATGCAGACATACCTCAGCTGTCTATTGGTCGAAGATCCTGGCTGAGATGACGGCCCCAGCACCGCACGCGCCAGCCGAGTGGTCTGAGGGAAGCGGTCCTTGAAGGCACCGCCCACATCAGACACAGCCGACTCGGTCGTGGTGACGTTAGCACACACTGCAGCCAAATGACAGGAGAGGACAGAGATGAGAGTGGCACCGCATTTCCTCCCCCTCGCCGTGCCGGCCTGGGCTGGGCTGACCAATGTTGAGATGTTCGACAACCTCGATGAGAATCCGTGCGACGAAGGGGTGGCCGGCGTCGGTGAGCACGAGATGACGGTAAGGCCAGCCGTCAGGGGAGCGGTATGATGCAGTTGTGGTACATCCCTCCACTGATATGTGGGGTGACTGTGTCACAATGGTGTGGAGCCGGTTGTTGTCGATATACCTGACACATACATACATACACATAAGACAGACTCGTATGTCGTAGCAGTGCCAACACAGTGTGATGCCCCGCTTGACCTGTCCATGAGACTGCTAGTGCTTTTGTGCTGCTGAGTCCGCAATATGTGGTTGATGACAAGGCTCTTGACCATCGATGACACATACGCGTAGTCACGAGCCGCCAGTCGCACCCGGCCCGTGTGCGGCCGATATCCAATCCTGCTGCGGACGGGTGGATCGTGCTCTTGTCGGTGCTGCCGGTAGAGGTGGTTGGGAGGGAGGGGTGGGTTGGTGTCCATCTCGAAGCCGTCTTCGTCCTTGATGGCCCGCAGTGTGTTGCCGTGCTGAAACAGCTGAAAGGTCACACCGTTGCCGAAGTCGATATGGGGGCCGACCATCTTGAGCTGAGCCAATCCATGGGGAGCGGCCAAATACGCCTACATGACCACACACACAGAGAGAGAAGAATGAACAAAACCCCTTCCTCTGCCCTCCCACCCCTTTGTGTGCGCCTTACCGTCTTGTTTGCGTGTTTGTTGATGTCGTCAGCAGTCAGCCGCACCGGCAGAATGCAGCGGCCGCAGTGCGCCGCCAGCCGCAGTATGTCGGCGACCTCGTCCCACGTCTGCTCCTCCACCAGCCACATGGCCGCCAGCAGCACACGTGGCTCAGACACCGTCTGGGCGTCGAAGGCCAGCACTGTGTCGAGCCATGTGCCGTCGGCGAGCCGAATTCGGTGCAGGGAGTGGGTGAGTCGGGTGCG